AAGTATAAATATATTAAAATTTACTTAATAGTAAATGAATCATCTTCAACCGAATTATTTAGGGTGTCCCCAAAATCGTGGTACAACCGGCCGGGTGGTGATTCTATATGCAAAAATAAGTTGATAAAAACGAAAAACATTTTTTCATTTAAAGCTTCATTTTCTAAAAAAAGGTGTTTGCTCGTGATTGTATTATTAAGCATGGACAATATCACGATCTGCTTCCTATTATTGGTGTTATCTTATTTCCATGATATCGGTTTGTGTTGCGTCCCAATTTACTGCAATTCTTTTTAAATTTTGCGGGGTCGTAAATCCCGCTTCCGCTCGATCGCGACGGTCACTTGAGACGTTGATTATCGAATTGTTTACCGATAATCTAGTTGATATAATGTTCTATATCTTAGTCTTACTGTAAGCCTGTGTTTTTGTGTTATTGTGATTCTATGTTTTCTATTCGGACTTGTTGTTATGACGCGTTACAGTGATTCAGTGTTAGTATTCGCGTTGTTATGCGTTACAAAGTTACAGTGTTACAATGTTCTAATGTCGTGTGCCATGACGTATTGGTGTTTATATAGACTATAGGTGGTCGTGTGGAGGTGGAAAAGTGTAGCGTGTGTTTAGTTAAACGTAGATGTGTTTTTTGGGGGACCGAATTTGTTGTAAACAAATTAGATTAGATCTAGTAAACTTATACTAGTCCAAGGGGGGTCCATGGCGGTCCGATGGTCATTCGGGACCCCGGTCTGGCGGCCCAATGTGAGTAACACGTTTATTGTGATTATCCGCCAAACCGAGGCTTCGTTGCGATCCTGAGGTCGCAACAGTCTATTACTTTCTTTTATTCTGTATTTAATTTGAATGGTTTCCTAAATAAGGATAAAATTAATACTTTTTAAGAACCATTTTATTAATGTAATAAGTGTTCGGAATATTAACCGTGTTGCTGCATCACTTGTTACGTTAATAATGTTTCTTAAAAAGCACTAATCTCATCCCTGCTACTATCTTACAAAGCAATAGTGAGATCTAAACTCGACTACGGATCAATCGTCTACAGTTCCGCAAACTCCAATACATTAAAAAACCTGGATCCCATACATAATAACGCACTCAGAATAGCAATTGGTACCTTTCGAACCAGTTCAATTAATGGCATTCTCAGCAAAGCATCTGAACCTTCACTACAGATCAGAAGAATATATCTAAGTATTAAATTTGCAATCAAAATCGCTTCTTCCCCACAAAATCCCGTCTACCAATATGGAGAAATGTTAAAAGTGTAGAGTCTGTTAATTCTTTTTTCAGACAACCTAATACATTAAAAATAAATAATATCGACTCTCTTGAATATATTTACATATGTTTCCATGTTTCATTTCGCTCTTATTCTGATTAAGTTAGGCATCGACTGTTGCATATGAAATGAAATTACGCGAAAAATTTCTGTCGTTCTTGAAACAGAAAATAAACACGGTAAACATTACTTTTTTTTCCTTTTACATCTTAGTTTTTATAACAATCGATTACACGATAATAATGATCACGGTCACGTTTGATTCGTAGCATTTGTTGAAAATAACGATTCTTGGACTGTTATCCATTTTATTTACATCACGTTGATTACATGTAAACATCAATTGTCAAACGATTTTCTACTTTCAATGTATAGAATGCTATACTGTACGAACGTTTCTCAATGATTTTACAGTGTGTAAATATTGTTATTCCAGAAAATATTATCAAACATTTGTGTACGCGAATTGCAGGGTGAAAGTTTCAGTGTGTCGTAACGGTATCGAGAGTAAACGCGTCTAGACGCATGCGAACAGTGTATTGATTACTAATCAAAGTAAGGGTACAAACTTAAAAAATGTTTGGGGAACAGTCATCAACGCAAAACTTACAAAATTAGTCTTCCATAATTCACAATCATTAAACGTATCATCACTTTTATATAGAATTGCTAAATGCACCTACAGGGTGGACCATTTAAAAATAGGATTACATAAATATTTCTGCTGTTTATAAATATATGAGAAAACTGTTTAGGACAAAGTTAAACTATTCGAAGAGGAGAACAAAAGTGCTAAGAAGAAAAATTTTTTCAAAGTAATTTTTTTTTCCGAAATTTCAAGGTGTTTTCTTAAATACTATGGTATATTTTTGTTTTATATCCTTACAAAGCATGGAAAAACAAATTCAACAACCTTAAAAACGATACTATTCCGATCATTTAAATCGTTATTTATTAAAAAATCATTTTTTAGAGACTATTTGGACTATTGTTCCTATATTTATTTTAATTTTTATTTGTTTTCCTTCTTTGAAGATTTTATATTATATGGATGAATTATTAAATCCTTATTTTTCTATTAAAGCTGTTGGTCATCAATGATATTGATCTTATGAATATCCAGAATTTAATAATTTAGAGTTTGATTCTTATATGGCTTCTTATATATTAATTGATCAGTTTCGTTTATTGGATGTTGATAATCGTTTAATTGTTCCTTTTGGTGTTCCTATTCGGTTGGTTGTTACTTCAGCTGATGTTATTCATTCTTGAGCTTTGCAGTCTTTGGGGATTAAAATTGATTCTGTTCCTGGTCGTATTAATCAGGTTAATTTATATTCTAGTCGTCCTGGTTTGTTTTTTGGTCAGTGTTCTGAAATTTGTGGTATAAATCATAGATTTATACCTATTGTTTTAGAGAGAACAACTTATAAGTTTTTTACTGATTGAGTTAACAAGGGATAGTTGATTTTTGTTTTAAATAATTAGTTAATATTATAATATTAAATTGTCAGTTTAAAGTTAATAGTTTATTTATTGTTATTTGAAAGTGTCATTAGATGTCTGAAGTGCAAGAATTGATTTTTTAAATCATGTTATAGTAATAGCAATTACTTCTAATGAGTCTTTTATTCCTCAAATGGGTCCTATAAGTTGGTTTATTTTATCTTTTGTTTGTTTGTTTAATTTATTTATAATGATAGGCTGTATTAATTCGATTTTGATTATAATAAATAAGGTTGATTTTTCTGTTTTTGAATTAGTTTATAAAAAATGGAGTTGATTATGGTAAGTAATTTGTTTGAAAGGTTTGATCCTATGGTTGGTAAATTTTGTTGTTTATCTTTTCCATTTAATTGATTTTCTATTTATTTACCTTTTATTTTGACTTTTATATTTTATTGATTTATTTATTCTCGTATTAGGGTTATTTTGATAATTTTGGTTAAGTTTATTTATAATGAGTTTAATTTATTAATTTCTAGTAAGTATCAGTCTAATACTATTGTTTTTGTTAGATTATTAATTTATATTATATTATTGAATTTGTTTGGGTTATTACCTTATGTTTTTACTGTTACTAGACATATTTCTATTAATTTGATTTTGTCTTTATCTTTGTGATTAGGCTTTATTTTGTATGGGTATTTAAATAAGCCAGTTATAGTGTTTAGTCATCTTGTTCCTAAAAATACTCCTAGATTTTTAATGAATTTTATGGTTTTGATTGAATTTGTTAGAAATTTGATTCGACCTTTAACTTTGTCTATTCGATTGACAGCTAATTTGATTTCTGGACATTTGTTAATAATTTTGTTGGGTTTATTTATGTCTAAGACAATTTTATTGTTTTTGTGTTTGTCAATTATTGTTCAAAATATTCTTTTAATTTTGGAAATTTTTATAGCTTTTATTCAGGCTTATGTGTTTTCGGTTTTGATAACTTTATATTTTACTGAATTTAAATAAATTTAATGTTAATGTTAATGTCAAATCATCCGTTTCATCTAGTTACTATAAGGCCTTGACCTATTATAATGTCTGTATCTATTTTTAATTTGTTATTTTCTTCTCTTAATTATTTTTTTTTTGTTGGTTCTGTTAATGTTATATTTTTTTGTTTATTAGTTTTGGTGTTTGTTTTTTTACAATGGGTTCGTGATGTTGTTCGTGAGAGAATGTTTCAGGGTGTTCATACTTACTCTGTTTATAAGTTTTTAAAGTTTAGTATAGTTTTATTTATTATTACTGAATTGTTTTTTTTTATTTCATTTTTTTGGTCTTTTTTTCATAATTCTATTTCTCCTTCAATTGATATTGGTATGATATGGCCTCCTTTATGGATTTTATTTTTTGACCCTTATGATATTCCTTTATTAAATTCGATTATTTTGATTTCTTCTGGTTTAACTGTTACTTGAAGACATAATAGTTTATTAGTTGGTAATTATTTTGGATTGATTAATAGTTTAGGGCTGACTATTTTTTTAGGCATTTATTTTTTATTTGTTCAGCGTATTGAGTATTTTGATTCATTTTTTAGGATTAATGATGGTATTTTTGGGTCGGTTTTTTATATATTAACTGGATTTCATGGGTTACATGTTTTTGTTGGGGTTATATTGTTATTGTATTGTATATTACATAACCATATATTGGATACCATACATATATCGCCCTACATATATTATTGGACCTTAACACGCCAATATTACCATATCCAATATCCAATATATAATATTATCGCCCTTAACACGTTCAGGACGGTGTGCTCCGCCTTTTTTCGGCTCCACTCTTATTTTTCGGCAGTTGACAGTCATTCTATAGAATCCATGCATTCCGCCCTTAACACGTTCAGGACGGAACCCACCGGTGGGTCATCGATGCTCTTGTTTGCTGACATGATCCACCGATGAGTAATTTAAAATAATGGCATAAAAGATTGAACAGATGATGTGATCCAACGATGGATCAGCCGGTGGATGGATCAGATCAGTATTAACCCTCGGAAGGCGAATGGTTTTAGACGGACGCGGGAGACGGATGCAGGGTCATTTTGACCCATAGCAAAATTTCTATTGTACACGGGTTTCAAGAAGGAATTGTGTATAAATATGCATACTTTTAACTGTATATATTTTATATTTTTCTTGTTTATTTACATTTGATACATAAAATAGGTGTATTTCCTGTACCAAACGTGATCTGAGCCGCCTGACTTTATCGCTGTTGAGTCAAAAT